ATTTGGGGTGCAGGGAGAGGGATTTGGGGTACAGGGAGAGGGATTTGGGGCTGCAGGGAGAGGGATTTGGGGCTGCAGGGAGCAGGGATTTGGGCTGCAGGGAGAGATATTGGGGTGCAAGGAGAGGGATCTGGGGCTGCAGGAAGCAGAGATCTGGGGTTGCAGGGAGCAGGGATTTGGGGTGGAGGGAGAGGGATTTGGGGTGGAGGGAGAGGGATTTGGGGCTGCAGGGAGCAGAGATCTGGGGCTGCAGGGAGCAGGGATTTGGGGCTTGGTTTGGGGCCCTTGTGGGGCCACAGTGGGGTGGCACATCCACAGGATGGGCTCTTCCCTCCCCGAGCCCTGGGGTCCATCCTCTGGCAGCCGAGCTGGGCAGACCCCCAACCCTTCCCGACCCAGGGGAGGCAGCTCCAGCTTTCCTGCTCCTACTCTCCCTTTCCCAGGAGTTTTGTTTGCGCTGCCGGGAGGGAGGGCGGGCGAGAGTGGGGGGGAGAGAGCGGCCGTTCCAGAACATCCTGTGCCTTAAAAGCCATAAAAGGCTTAAGTATGGAGTGGTGATGCTGGGAGCCCGCACGCACACGCGGCTGCTGCTCCGAGGAGGAGAGCAGATGGGGAAACACCCTCCTCCGTGACCGTCCTACATCTTCCAGAGGGGGAACAGCAGCGCCGCTGGATTTATGGTGATTTTTTTCCCCCCCTCCCACGCAGCGTTCCCAGCCCCGGCTGCTCCCGGCGCCGCTCGCATCCCTGGAGGCGCTTGGAAGGGGATGCTCGGAGGGCACCGGGGATTTTTGGGGTGAAGTTGCGGCGGGTTCCTGGCCATGCTCCGCCCGGCCTCGGTTTCCCCGGAGCTGTGAGTACCTCTGCTCTTCCCGAGCGATCCGGGCGGGAAGGAGGGAGCTCCTCGCTGGAGGTCAGTGGGTTATTCGGGAGAGGATGCCTTGGAAGGGAACAGCTGCCTGCCGGTGTCAGGCTTTCCAAACCTTTGAGTTTGAAAAAACTGGGTTAAAAAAGGTTAAAAAGGATGGGTTCCCCCTTTATTTTTGGCGCAGAAGGGTGGGTTTACCCTTACTTCTTATTTATTTTTTTTTTTATTTTTTTCCTTCCTCCCTGTAGCCCCTAAATCCCGTATTTTCAGCCTTTCTCCTCCCTGTAGCCCCCAAATCCCGTATTTCCAGCCTTTCTCCCAGCCCAGGCCCTGGCAGGGATGGGGATGTGCCGTGACCTCTCCCCAGCTGTGATCTGGCCCAGGCTCTTTCCATTCCCTCCGCAGGGATGCAGCCGAAACACAGAGTGACAGGAGCTCTGCAAACACAACCTGAGAGGCTGCAGGGCTTGAAAAAGCCCTTCTGTGTTTGTGACTCGTGCAAAAGAGGAGCTGTTTGTGCAGAGGCAGCTTTGGGGGGCGAGGGGAGGGATGCAGGATGCTGGTGGGACTTGGATGAGGAAGGGGATCCCCTCGGTCCTGCAGGTTGGTCTTGATTAAATTGTAACAATGAGCTAAACTGAGATGTGAGCAAATCTTACCTTGTTCTGCTGATTCTTCAGCCCACACAGGGAAAAAAAAAAAAAAAAGGCTGGTCTGGGCTCTTTGTCTGTGCTAAAAAAACGAAACAGCTTCTCTCCCTGTCCCGTAGCTGCAAAGGCTCCCGAAATGCTGGTGCTGTGGAATATTCCCTTGCACAACCTCCCTGCCTTGCTCCTGTCAGCAGCTGCAGGAATCTGCCTCTGGCACGAGGAGGGTGGAAACGATCTCGGGGGACGGGGATGGGGGGAAGGGGTGAAGCTGAGGGGGGAGGTCGGAGGGGTCACAGCCTCCAAACTGCCCCTCCGGGTGTCTGCAGGGGATGCTCGGGGGTCAGGAGGAGCAAAAGGAGCCTGTGAGCTCTGCTGCTTTTGATTTGCCTGGTACAATTCATTATCTCCTAATCCTGATGGTTTTCCTCTTTGCTTTTGCCTTTTTTTTTTTTTATTTTATTTTTTTGCCAGCTGGGTGATTTGCAGCGAGAAGGCAGAGAACTAGTGGATTTTTGTTGTTGTTGTTGTTATTTTTCTGGGTAGCTGTTACTATGGCAAGGAAACTTGATTCAGAGAGAGGTCAGCAATGCCAGGCTGAAAATTTCATGCATGTTCTGTTTAAAGAACTCAGCTGCCAGGGTTTGAGCAAGGGAGAAGGAAAAGCACCAGAGTCCCTGGTTTTCAGAGGTTTTCAAGCCTTTTCTGCCTAAAAGTGGGATTTATTTGCCAACCCAGGCTTGGTGTTCTGACATCATGGGCTGAGCTCTCTGGACTGTTGCACAATGGAGTTTTGGGGTGCTGAGCCCTTCTGAAAATATATTTGGTGGCAGAGAAATGAGCTTTATCCCTGGAGGAGGAGGGATTTCTGCTTCCCTTTTGGGTGCTGAGCAGAGAGAATGTGGACTTGGAGCTTCCTGAACCTTGGGTTTCCTGGCTCTGCTGCCCTAAGGAATCATTTCTTTACAGCAAAGGCCTGAGCCCACACCAGGCTGGAGTTTATCTGCCAGATTTGGGCAGACAAATCCCAGACCTGCTTCCAGGAGGAAAAGCAGCCTCACTTCCATTACTGGGATTGATGGGGAGCTTTGGGTGCTGCTCCCACACCTGAAACTTTCTCTGTGTGTTATTTGGGGTGCTCCTCACCCTGCTTCCTTCCAGCACAGGTGAAAACAGCACAAAGAAGCTGCCACTGTGTGTCCCCTCCTTCCTCATCACTTGCTGTTGTTTATTCCTTGGTAAAGCTCTGATTTTACCCAATATGGGATGGGATAGCAGGGAAGCTCCAGCTGCAGGTTGGGGTTTTGGGGAGATGTGGGGTCCCACCTCCACCTGGAGCTTCCCTGTGTAGAGGAACTGAGCACTGAGCCCCAGAAGAGCAGGAATGATGTTCCCAGGACAGCCTGCCTGAGGTGCCCCTCAGGGCAGGTGAGTGCTTGAGGAGCAGGAAACACTTCCCTTCTCCAAACTGTGCATTTGATCCTGTGCCTGGAACAGCTCCAGGGAAGCACCCAAGTGTTGCTGTAACTGGAATTGCACTGGGAAGAGAGTCAGGAGCAGGCAGGGCTGAGCTGGGCTGTGCCAGACCCTCCCTTTTTGGGGGTGGGTGAAATTCCTGGAGATCTCCCCTCTGTGTCCTCCTTCCTGGGCTTCTACTACAGCCTTTGGGACAGAAATGGGTTGATTCCCTGCCCTGAACCATCTCCTTTGAGCTGCCTTCCTGGGGCCTGTGCTCTGTCATCTCTCCTGCTCTGGGTTTGATGGAGCACAGGCAGCCAAGGCAGAGCTGGAAGGGAGCTGCTCCCTCCCACCTGGTGCTGAGGAGCAGGAGCTGTGATTCCTGCTGGGCTCTGGGTGCTATTCCCAGAGTGTTGCCCCTGTTCCTGCCTCTGTGGTGATGCCTGTCCCTGGAGCAGTGGGAATTGTTGCTGGAAGTTGTTGGGTGCTGCTGGGTGTCGGGTTGTTTGCAGCCCCTTCTCCCTTGGGAGACACAGGAGCCTTTTCCTGGAGCAGTTTAATGGATTCCTCTGCCCCACTGGTGACTGTACCTGTTTTAACCTTCCCCTGGTGACAGCAAGGAGCACGTGGGTTGTGTTTGGGGCTGGCAGATGTGATGTTCTGGACCCAGCTCCAGATGGGGCTGTGATGGGAGTCCTGGGCCTGACCCATTTCCAGAGCTGGTGGTGGAAATCTGGGATCGTGCTGCTGGAGTCAGTGGAGCTGATGGTTGGAGGGAGGAGATTTGGGCTCTGCACTGAGGGAATTTCACACCTGGAGCAGCAAAGCTCCCAAATCCTGGGGAGAGGTGGGATCAGGAGGAACGGGGAAGCAGCGCCGAGCACGGACATCTCTCCCTGTTCAGCCCATGGATCCCTGTGACACCCACCAGCACTTGTGATAAACCACAAATCATGGCAGGTGAGAAATACCACTGACCCAGGGGCTCTCCAGGATGAGCCCAGTGTGACCTGCAGGGTGAGGAATGGCTTTTCCTTGGAGTGTCCCAGCACAGGGAGCTCAGTCCTGCACACCAAGAGCCCTGACCTCCTCTCAGTGGGTGCTGGGGGGGCTCCCCCTGCCCAGCCAGGCTCCACATCCACTTGGAAAAGACCCTGGAGGGTTTGTAGGTGCTTGCTGAGCTCTTAAAGCAGGGATTTTTGTCCTGCAGGGTCAAGGTTTGGGTGCTGGAGTGGGCTCAGCTCCTCTGGTAGAAAAGCAATTTCCCTTCCTTTTGATTTCAAAATGTCAATGCTTCCAATTAGTTTGGGATAATGAAGTGGTAAATCCCTGTCCCTGGCTGCAGTGCACTGAGGGGGTGGCCAGCAGGTTTTCACAGTGCTGGCATTGCTTCCCAGGGAGCTCCAGGTGATGCTGGAGACAGGGAGACAGAGGACGTGGGCACAGCGTTTCAGCTGACCTTGATTTTCTTTAAATAGCATGGAAAAGGAATAGCAGGTTATTTGTATGCCAAGGCAGCTGAATGCAGGC